GTAAAACTGCACACACCAGAGAGAGAAATGGGGGTAGACCACGAGGCAGACAAAAAAGAAGTTCGAGAGATAATGTCCAGCCAGACCTGCAAACAACTGGTGTCACAAATTGTGAAGATAAGGCCAGCCAGAGAGATGAATGGAGACGAGTGATATCTGCAGCAGTAAACCTCAAGGGCTCAGAATGCTAAAGAAGAAGATGACCATTCTGTGCTACTTTATATAAAGTAAAAGTTCAGCGTACATTTGACATTATGAATGTGAGTGTTTTTTTAAAAGATTTATTTTATACAGTATTCGTATTCGGCTGAATAGTTGGTCCCGCTTTTCGTATTCAGCCGAATAGTGAAAATCACTATTCGGTACAGCCCTAAATATCTACACCCTTTCACCCTGAGATACTGCGACTTACTGGGACTGGCCTTGCATATTGCTGTTGGCTCAGCATATTTCAACAGTGTTTTAGGACTCTGCTGTCCGTTACAAAGCCCAGAGAAACCACAAAACTGAGGGGTCGGCCAGGTTTTAAAGAGTGCGAGAGTTAACAAAAAGAAATTTAGCTGAAGGCTTTTACAGAATTTTGCGGAATCCAACATTTTTTTGGCCGAGTGATTTTCTAGGCAAATTTTACATTTGCTTTTGTCTTCTGAATGGCAGACTCTCAATACCACTTCTGAAAGCAACGCAAGACAGTCTGCTGCCATATTGCCTGCAGCTAGGATTGAACTCAGCACCATGGCATTACATTCACAACTTCAAAGTCACAGATGCGAAGGCTTAAATGATTTTTAATTTGCTACAAAGAAACAAACTAATGGGAATGTAAAGGTGTATCAAAACAACACAAATATACTTCAATACTGTAGAGATTTTGTGGGTGAATATATTTCTTTCTGTACAGTCTGTATGGTTTTGATTCTGAATAAAATGGAATGAATAAATATCACAGACTAACAACAAGCCAACAGATCAGAGGTCAAACTATCAACAATGTAACAGTACTGAATAGTGAGCCGCGTTAGCACAGTCGATAGGAGGCTCGCTTTCAAATCCAGCTGTGACTCGCTGCAGCCAAGGTCGGTGTTAGAAACCGGGCGGTTTCCGGGGTTCACCCAGCCTCTAGGAAATGGGTACCAGAGTGATACTCTGGGGTAAATGGAGGAACTGTAGCTACAGTTACGTGCGAACGGTGGCACAGGCGGACAATTCTTATCAGCTGTCCATACTAGTGGAAGAGCACTTATGGTTTATAACCGTGTGCAATGACGCTGGTTCACATCTCCCAACCTTACCTTTACAGTACTGAATAGTTACCTTTTACAGTCATCCACATTTGTCATGCCATTTAGTGTTCATGTAACTTGAGATTTTCCTACCAGTAAACTTTTATCTGGCATGATGTCGACCATATCGGCCTTCAAGTGCCTCAGAGCTCTTGTCTGTCTGTATTCTGTTGAGGCCTTAGCTTTCAGCTGTCACATTCTTCTCCAGGTGCCTGCTCAGTCTAGCAATCACAGCTCTCCAATGCTCTCTGAGCTCTGATATCTACAGGATGCTGGTTGTGATATTTCTTGCCCAGCCTCTCAAGTTTTTTTTTTAAGCCAATTAAACAGGAACCAGGCCCCTCAGAACCAGAACTTAGGCAACAAATGAACAAACTCAGGTGAAAATGCTCACCACAAGGAATATAAATAAAATAAGATAGCAAAGGAACCGTCCTTGAAAAAGCAGGCCATCAGGCGGCTAAAAAAAGGACTAAGTTTGGAATTTTTGTTTGACTTTATACGATACGATACAATTTTTTTTTCTGACAACTGTCGATATTTTTCTGTTGCTTTCAACCCCACAATAATTTCTTTTGTCTATTACTGACAATGTAGCAAAGTTTCCCCTGTCCATCATTGACAATGTAGCAAAGTTTCCCCTGTCCATCATTGACAATGTAGCAAAGTTTCCCCTGTCTATCATTGACAATGTAGCAAAGTTTCCCCTGTCCATCATTGACAATGTAGCAAAGTTTCCCTGTCCATCATTGACAATGTAGCAAAGTTTCCCCTGTCCATCATTGACAATGTAGCAAAGTTTCCCCTGTCCATCATTGACAATGTAGCAAAGTTTCCCCTGTCCATCATTGACAATGTAGCAAAGTTTCCCTGTCCATCATTGACAATGTAGCAAAGTTTCCCCTGTCCATCATTGACAATGTAGCAAAGTTTCCCTGTCCATCATTGACAATGTAGCAAAGTTTCCCCTGTCCATCATTGACAATGTAGCAAAGTTTCCCTGTCCATCATTGACAATGTAGCAAAGTTTCCCCTGTCCATCATTGACAATGTAGCAAAGTTTCCCCTGTCCATCATTGACAATGTAGCAAAGTTTCCCTGTCCATCATTGACAATGTAGCAAAGTTTCCCCTGTCCATCATTGACAATGTAGCAAAGTTTCCCCTGTCCATCATTGACAATGTAGCAAAGTTTCCCCTGTCCATCATTGACAATGTAGCAAAGTTTCCCTGTCCATCATTGACAATGTAGCAAAGTTTCCCCTGTCCATCATTTACAATGTAGCAAAGTTTCCCCTGTCTCTATCACTGACAATGTAGCAAAGTTTCCCCTGTCCATCATTGACAATGTAGCAAAGTTCCCCCTGTCTCTATCACTGACAATGTAGCAAAGTTTCCCCTGTCCATCATTGACAATGTAGCAAAGTTCCCCCTGTCTCTATCACTGACAATGTAGCAAAGTTTCCCCTGTCCATCATTGACAATGTAGCAAAGTTTCCCCTGTCCATCATTGACAATGTAGCAAAGTTTCCCTGTCCATCATTGACAATGTAGCAAAGTTTCCCCTGTCTATCATTGACAATGTAGCAAAGTTCCTCCTGTCCATCATTGACAATGTAGCAAAGTTTCCCCTGGTCATTAAGTTTCAGATAGTGAAGACAATGACTCCTTCCTCAGAGAGGGAGAGTAAAGACATGACTTCCTCCTCAGAGAGGGAGAGTTGCATTGCATGTATCAACTCCTTACAGCATATTTGTACACGCAATACAAGACCACAATAGTGGTTCACATGCAACAATGCCAGTTGTTGAAACAAACTATTCAATGAAAGACAAGTCTTGCAGTAAAACACTGTTCACCTCTTTTAAAACATAAAGTCCCATTCTGCCATTCAACATCATCATAGCGCAAAATACATTGCAGAACCAATCCCCAATTTTTTGTTTTTGGTGGCTGTTGCGGTTTTCCATGTAAATTTGTGTTCCGTAGTCTGCCAGTGGGCCTGAACGGTCGGCTCTCAATACAACTGTCAAAACCAAAACAAAGTGGTCTGCTGCCAAATTGCCTGCCGCTTTGATCGAACCTGGCACCCTGGTACTGCAAAGCATATTCACAATGCTTAAGCCAGACACAAATTTATCATAGACCAAGATACCTTTATTGACGATGAACACCAATACTTTTTCTTAGCCTTCACCAACTGTAACTTTTGGTGAACAATTATTTTGACACTAAAGTATAAGACTGATGACACCAGCAGACACTAAAGTATAAGAATGATGGCACCAGCAGACACTAAAGTATAAGTCTGATGACACCAGCAGACACTAAAGTATAAGATTGATGGCACCAGCAGACACTAAAGTATAAGATTGATGGCACCAGCAGACACTAAAGTATAAGATTGATGGCACCAGCAGACACTAAAGTATAAGACTGATGACACCAGCAGACACTAAAGTATAAGATTGATGGCACCAGCAGACACTAAAGTATAAGATTGATGGCACCAGCAGACACTAAAGTATAAGACTGATGACACCAGCAGACACTAAAGTATAAGATTGATGGCACCAGCAGACACTAAAGTATAAGACTGATGACACCAGCAGACACTAAAGTATAAGATTGATGACACCAGCAGACACTAAAGTATAAGTCTGATGACACCAGCAGACACTAAAGTATAAGACTGGTGACACCAGCAGACACTAAAGTATAAGACTGATGACACCAGCAGACACTAAAGTATAAGACTGATGACACCAGCAGACACTAAAGTATAAGACTGATGACACCAGCAGACACTAAAGTATAAGTCTGATGACACCAGCAGACACTAAAGTATAAGTCTGATGACACCAGCAGACACTAAAGTATAAGACTGATGACACCAGCAGACACTAAAGTATAAGACTGATGACACCAGCAGACACTAAAGTATAGGACTAATGACACCAGCAGACACTAAAGTATAAGATTGATGGCACCAGCAGACACTAAAGTATAAGTCTGATGACACCAGCAGACACTAAAGTATAAGATTAATGGCACCAGCAGACACTAAAGTATAAGATTGATGACACCAGCAGATACTAAAGTATAAGTCTGATGACACCAGCAGACACTAAAGTATAAGATTGATGACACCAGCAGATACTAAAGTATAAGTCTGATGACACCAGCAGACACTAAAGTATAAGACTGACTGATAAAATATAAGATTGGTTAGACCAGCAAAAAAATGAAAAAGATGCAGATAATGATGTTAAAACATTTGCCAAAATACTCTAGTCTCATGGTAACACCAACACCTTAACAAAGTAGTGATGATTATGGCAACGACACCAGTACACACACACACACACACACACACACATACAGAAGTATCTATGACACCAAGACACAACAAGGTACTGGCAATGATGACAAAAAGAGCACTCAGCCCCTGTATTCATGTAGTTTCAGTTTATATAAACAACTATCCTGCAATCTACACAAATAACATGATTCTTTAATGTACAATAGTTGAGTGAAAACAAAACCATGATTAACAATAAACAAGGTTGTTAAGTTATCTGTAAAAAAAAAAAAAAAAAAAGATTTATCCAGTTATAAAATATTCTCTACATATTTTCACAAAGTAAATATTCACACTAGTAGATCTCTCTGGATAATTTTGGCAAATATTTGCAGTTGCAAGAAAACTGATTTCTTATTAATGACTATTGCTTGTGGGGTTGACACGTGTGGGTGTGGAATGAATGCTGGAAGTAGGAGCCGGCACTGAAGAACCTGGTGAAGACAGCACCGCTAAAGATGCTTGGGTAGCTCGGATAATTTCCTTGACCATGCCTTTACAATCGCAGCAGATGGCCATGGCGGGTCCTCTGGGTGTCTGAGCTAGTTCAGGAGCTGGCTTCTGACCCGGAACACAGAGAGACTGAGACCTCTGGAGAGGTTTGGACCGAGTGAAGAACCCTTTAGAGGGCTTGGCATCATCCTTTGAGGGTGGCACTAATTCTGCTGGCTGTGCTCTGTGACCTGGGAGTTGTCTCTGCTCTGATAAGGTCTGGTTTCTGTCAAGGTTGCTTCCTGCAGCCAGCTGGATTGGAGGGGCAGGCGAAGCTCTGTGGAAAGTAGGAAAGCATTCTATTGGTAGTCTTAGTTTGTAGGTTTCGTTGTGAACCTAAACATCAATGAGCGTCTTAGTTATAAACTGGCAGAGAGGCGGATTTTTGTTAAAACGAACGAACAAACTTCATTTTCAAAGGGTTACAAATTAGGCACGCAGGCCTGTCTAACATTCGGCCCTTCCAAACTCCCATCTTTCACACAGAATTTCTATTTCATCAATAAAGCATGTTATGTTCATGTAATATTATGCATATTAAGAATATCAAGTCAAAAACAAAAGCATGGGTGGTAAAATATGTGCGCACGCTCACGCGCGAACACACACACCCACATACACACGCAAACCCATTCGCTCACTTACACACACATAGGCACCCAATACACACATACATCCACATACATACGAACATAAACACACACAAACATACATACATACACACAGTCACCCACACAGACACATGCTCTAAAACACACACGCATACAACCCAGACACATACAGACACACAGCTATACTCACACACATGCATACACACACGCTGGCCAAAGCTAGCTCAAAATGTTTGGGTTATCCTGGGAGATAAAGGTGGCTGACCACATGAGCCAGCAAGTGCTGATTGTAACACAAACAATATGGGACCTGCACAGGGTCATTAACTTGACTGAGTCGAGTCAAGAATTGACATCACAGCACTCGGGGCTTTCCCATTTGCACTCCCTCCGTCCTCATCTTCAGCAGCTGGTGCAGAGTTTCAATACTGATGGCACCGGTCGTAGTCTGGTTTTATGTCCGTCTTGCCTTTCCTCAGAGTGTAGTGAGCCGGCCAGACTCTCTGGTCACACCCAGGTGCATCACTCTTGAGGGCAAAATGGTCCAGTTTCTCTTTGACTTTATTACTAGTTCCAAAAAGACTTTTGCATTGTCATGTTTCAATTCACCACCCAGTCATGTAGATCCAGCCAATCTGTCTGCCTGTTTTTCCCCCACCACGCCCTAAATTGAGTGACTAGTATTAAAAAAACATTGTATCATGCTGCTTTTACCCATGAACACACAGCAAATCTACACAAGTACTCTCAACCTATATTTATGTGTGTGTGTGAGAGGGCGGGCATGAGTTTGTCTGCATGTGCATATATGAGTGCATGCATTCAGATTTCCTGTTATATAAACAGAATAAGAAGAACGGAGAAAAAGAATGAGAGAGGCAGAGAATGAATGCTGTGTTTGGGTTTATCAAAATTCCTCTGTCTCTTTATCAATCATCAAGTGTATAGACTAGCACCTGCAGCTCCTCTGATATTCTCTTCTAGTTGCCACAGCAATAAATAAATACAAGGTCTGGTCAGACACTTCTTCTTCTTTATCTCTTTCTAAGGTTCCCCCGGTGAAGTTTTGGACCACGTCACTGTCAGACGACTCAACCATGTCACCTGTGATGAGTTATCTGACCATGTCACTGTCAGACGACTCAACCATGTCACCTGTGATGAGTTATCTGACCATGTCACTGTCAGACGACTCAACCATGTTATCTGTGATGAGTTATCTGACCATGTCACTGTCAGACGACTCAACCATGTCACCTGTGATGAGTTGTCTGACCATGTCACTGTCAGACGACTCAACCATGTCACTGTCTGACCATGTCACTGTCAGACGACTCAACCATGTCACCTGTGATGAGTTATCTGACCATGTCACTGTCAGACGACTCAACCATGTCACCTGTGATGAGTTGTCTGACTGGTGATGCTGTCAAACTCACCTGGTTAAGGTGTGAACCACCTCCTGCATCTCTGGTGTGAGAGGTGAGGCGGACAGTGTGTAGACAGGGATATGCTTAAACTGGTCATCAGGAACATTCATCTGCGGATGCCACAAACAGAAGCATTTGACAACCTTGTAGTTGTATGTAATCAGAACTGGAATATCTAATGTGAAATGGTGTTCTAATCTCAACTCAGAAATACAACATGTGAAATTAATTTCTAAAGTTTCTCATCTGAACTCAGATACATTACATCTTATATGAATTTATGCGGTTACCATGGTTTCTCAAACAACAAACATAGCCAGGCAAGACAGTGTCAAGGAGAGGGTGGACCCGGTGACACAGGTGGACCCGACGACACAGGTGGACCCGACGACACAGGTGGACCCGGCGACAAGATGGACCCGGTGAAACAGGTGGACCCGGCGACACAGGTGGACCCGGCGACAAGGTGGACCCGGTGAAACAGGTGGACCCGGTGACACAAGGTGGACCCTGCAAGCTCAGACAAAACTACTGACTTCCCCACTACCACAGCTCTAACTTGTACAACAACACAGGAGATCCCAACCATCTGAATGAAACAGCCCACGGTAACAACAGCCACAATAAAGATGTTGCAATCACAGAAAAACAATTGTCATTATTATCAAGTAACACAGTATATTGAATGCATGACACTACAAGATATGTACAAGAGACATGACCGGCTTTAGAGTCATTTCAATAATGGTCTTGTCTCTCACTTGAGATGTCTCAGTCACTTCATTAATGGTCTCTCACTTGACCTACCTCAGTCAGTCATTGCATTAATGATCTCTCACTTGACCTACCTCAGTCAGTCACTTCATTAATGATCTCTCACTTGACCTACCTCAGTCAGTCACTTCATTAATGGTCTCTCACTTGACATACCTCAGTCAGTCACTTCATTAATGGTCTCTCACTTGACCTACCTCAGTCAGTCACTTCATTAATGGTCTCTCACTTGATCTGCCTCAGTCAGTCACTTCATTAATGATCTCTCACTTGACATACCTCAGTCAGTCACTTCATTAATGATCTCTCACTTGACATACCTCAGTCAGTCACTTCATTAATGATCTCTCACTTAACCTGCCTCAGTCAGTCACTTCATTAATGGTCTCTCACTTGACATACCTCAGTCAGTCACTTCATTAATGATCTCTCACTTGACATACCTCAGTCAGTCACTTCATTAATGGTCTCTCACTTGACCTACCTCAGTCAGTCACTGCATTAATGATCTCTCACTTGACCTACCTCAGTCAGTCACTTCATTAATGATCTCTCACTTGACATACCTCAGTCAGTCACTTCATTAATGGTCTCTCACTTGATCTGCCTCAGTCAGTCACTTCATTAATGATCTCTCACTTGACATACCTCAGTCAGTCACTTCATTAATGGTCTCTCACTTGACATACCTCAGTCAGTCACTTCATTAATGATCTCTCACTTGACATACCTCAGTCAGTCACTTCATTAATGGTCTCTCACTTGATCTGCCTCAGTCACTTCATTAATGATCTCTCACTTGACATACCTCAGTCAGTCACTTCATTAATGGTCTCTCACTTGATCTGCCTCAGTCAGTCACTTCATTAATGGTCTCTCACTTGATCTGCCTCAGTCAGTCACTTCATTAATGATCTCTCACTTGACATACCTCAGTCAGTCACTTCATTAATGGTCTCTCACTTGATCTGCCTCAGTCAGTCACTTCATTAATGATCTCTCACTTGACATACCTCAGTCAGTCACTTCATTAATGGTCTCTCACTTGACATACCTCAGTCAGTCACTTCATTAATGATCTCTCACTTGACATACCTCAGTCAGTCACTTCATTAATGGTCTCTCACTTGATCTGCCTCAGTCACTTCATTAATGGTCTCTCACTTGATCTGCCTCAGTCACTTCATTAATGGTCTCTCACTTGATCTGCCTCAGTCACTTCATTAATGGTCTCTCACTTGATCTGCCTCAGTCACTTCATTAATGGTCCATACTGAGACCAAGGTTTGAATTCTCAGTGAGGGGATGGATTGTTTTCTAAAGAAAGAGAAAAACAGCTAACCCAAACATAATCAGTCTGTGGTGTCTGCACTAGATATGCCAGCCTATATTCTCAGGTCCCAAAATGTGGACACATCACTACAGAGAGTTGCTGATGTTTAAAGATAAATGCTATTAAATGGAATAAGTTGAGCACAATGGAAGTGAGACCTTACCTTCCTCAAACACTTGGAGCAGACTGTTCGTTTGCAGAACTTGCACTTGGTGCCCCACTCCCCAAAGAGGGAAAACCTGGTTGTTTTACATGTGAAGCACAGCTGCAAACAGAAGACACACAACTTATAATCCCTTATAATCCACAGTGAGGTGCTACAGATAGACAGAGGAGTCTGCTTGAAACAAGCTTCAATGATGTGTTGAGAAAGATCTACCCAGAGAGTTCTACTGATGACTTCTAGCCGGCAGTGATGAAGGGAGGTAGGTGATTCACACAGTACACCCATGATGCCTGCTGTGATAATTAGTAGACAGTGATCTTTTCAATAATTTAACACAACTAGAAAACATGGTGTTTAAATTGTCTAGCAAAACTAGAAAACATGGTGTTTAAATTGTCCAGCAAAACTAGAAAACATGGTGTTTAAATTGTCCAGCAAAACTAGAAAACATGGTGTTTAAATTGTCCAGCAAAACTAGAAAACATGGTGTTTTAATGTGTCTAGCAAAACTAGAAAACATGGTGTTTAAATTGTCTAGCAAAACTAAAAAACATGGTGTTTAAATTGTCCAGCAAAACTAGAAAACATGGTGTTTAAATTGTCCAGCAAAACTAGAAAACATGGTGTTTAAATTGTCTAGCAAAACTAGAAAACATGGTGTTTAAATTGTCTAGCAAAACTAGAAAACATGGTGTTTAATGTGTCTAGCAAAACTAGAAAACATGGTGTTTAAATTGTCCAGCAAAACTAAAAAACATGGTGTTTAAATTGCCTAGCAAAAGTAGAAAACATGGTGTTTAAATTGTCTAGCAAAACTAGAAAACATGGTGTTTAGTGTGTCTAGCAAAACTAGAAAACATGGTGTTTAAATTGTCCAGCAAAACTAGAAAACATGGTGTTTAGTGTGTCTAGCAAAACTAGAAAACATGGTGTTTAAATTGTCCAGCAAAACTAGAAAACATGGTGTTTAAATTGTCTAGCAAAACTAGAAAACATGGTGTTTAAATTGTCTAGCAAAACTAGAGAACATGGTGTTTAAATTGTCTATCAAAACTAGAAAACATAGTGTTTAAATTGTCAATCAAAACTAGAAAACATAGTGTTTAAATTGTCAAGCAAAACTAGAAAATATGGTGTTTAAATTGTCTAACACAACTAGAAAACATGGTGTTTAAATTGTCTAACAAAACTAGAAAACATAGTGTTTAAATTGTCTAACAAAACTAGAAAACATGATGTTTAAATTGTCCAACACAACTAGAAAACATGGTGTTTAAACTGTCCAACACAATTAGAAACCATGGTGTTTAAATTGTCAAACACAACTAGAAAACATGGTGTTTAAACTGTCCAACACAACTAGAAAACATGGTGTTTAAATTGTCAAACACAACTAGAAAACATGGTGTTTAAATTGTCTAACACAACTAGAAAACATAGTGTTTAAATTGTCTAACACAACTAGAAAACATGGTGTTTAAATTGTCTAACACAACTAGAAAACATGGTGTTTAAATTGTCCAACACAACTAGAAAACATATTAAGGTTTTTTTGTCTAACACAACTAGAAAACATGGTGTTTAAATTGTCTAACACAACTAGAAAACATGGTGTTTAAATTGTCTAACAAAACTAGAAAACATGGTGTTTAAATTGTCTATCAAAACTAGAAAACATGGTGTTTAAATTGTCTATCAAAACTGGAAAACCTGGTGTTTAAATTGTCTTCTAACAAATTCCTATGGAAACAAGGCCTGAGCATTCAAATACAACAAGAAAACATGGGGATAGTGTTTGTAAAACAGAAGTCAGTTACCTTGCTTTTGGACACCTGCTGATAGAGATCTGGATGGGATATCAAGGACTCTAACTCTGCTTTGGTGAGGACAGATCTGATGTGAGTCACCTCTTCCAGCGTTAAACTCAGACATTCCACGGGGCTTTGCCAGCGTTTCTGTAGGGAAGATTCATTCATTCACGTGTGTGGGTGATGTCAAAACATGGTCATGGGGAAGATTTATTCAGGTGTGTGGGTGATGTCAAAACATGGTCATGGGGAAGATTTATTCAGGTGTGTGGGTGATGTCAAAACATGGTCATGGGGAAGATTTATTCACGTGTGTGGGTGATGTCAAAACATGGTCATGGGGAAGATTTATTCAGGTGTGTGGGTGATGTCAAAACATGGTCATGGGGAAGATTTATTCAGGTGTGTGGGTGATGTCAAAACATGGTCATGGGGAAGATTTATTCAGGTGTGTGGGTGATGTCAAAACATGATCATGGGGAAGATTCATTCCCGTGTGTGGGTGATATCAAAACATGGTCAGTCAGCATGAGTTCAGCAACAGCACAAATCAAATTACATTGCAGCTGTACACAAAACAGGAGAGTATTAGAGTACTCAGAACTGGAGTGATCACAAGAGACCCTTCTGACACCTTCTGGAGCAAAAGGCACACAATGCCTGCACTATATTTTTACAGACCAACTGAAACCTTGATGGATGATGTGGTTGACATCAGGCCAACCCCTTTCACTTGCAGGACATAACTTGCTACCTATTTGTGGTTGGGCACACCTGGAGGCCAAGAGAACAATCTGGATGTCTAGTATCTTTTTGCCAAAGTCTGCCTATGAAACTATGATACCAAAGGACAATGAAGAAAACAGAAGAAAATCATAAATCACATCATTTAAAAAAAAAAAAGGGGGGGGGGGGGGGTGGGGGAACTTAATCAAAAGCAGGAAAATACTAGACAACAGAAAGTCAACAAGGGGCAAAAAAACACAAATATCCAGCAACATTTGGACTGCATCTGCCAGAGAGGCAAGACACCAACAGTCTGCACACAAATAAGCCAGACCTGCAAAATGGACATGCACAAATAGGCAGTGGCTCAGAAATAAATTCAGAAGGAGATACAGACATACAGCTGAAGAAATTGATAAAAATAAAATCATAAACAAATATGCAAAAATACAGACAGACAATAATAGATACAAAAGTACAGATATATAAACTATCTTTACCTTCAGACTACAAGTTAGTCCACATTCAATAATGTAAAAGACACCAGTGCTAACTTGTATACTTACTGGGAGAGGCAGCACCCGTGGGGGGATGTTTAAACCAGACTCTGCAGACTTCACAGAGGCACACATCTGCAGCCTCGCGGTAAGTACGTCATTAACATACTCCTGTTGAACCGGCGACAGCTGCTTCAGACTCTCAAGAGGGGCGGTGAATCCCTCAGTCTCCTCCAGCTGACGCCAGCGTGCAAACCTGGCTTCCTCACTCGCTGAAATTTGCTGAAAGATGTCCATCTCCTCCTTGGAAAGGTCAGGTAATGAGATTCCTTTGCTGTCTTGTTGAGAATACTGTTTAAGTCTGCTTTTCATTGGTTCTGTTGTGCTTGCCATCCGCTGACTGTTGATATCCCTTCCGAGTCTTCTGATTCTAGGAGTGACATTTTCTTCATGAAGTGCCTTCAGTCTACTTAAGTGTTCTGCATCATCCAGGGAGCTCACTCTGTTGTGTGTCTCGTGAACTGGTTCTTTAATGTTTCTGTGTGCTCCAAGAGAAAGTCTCCTAGAAGCCGTGTGTGTCTGATTAAGCTCCTGGCTTCCTGAATTCTGATCCTGCCTACTTTTATACATACTAAAGCGACTGTCTAGTGACAAACGTCTGCACTGAATATCGTCTGCTGACACAAGAACCTGCTGATGTTCTAGCTCTGAATCAACACTATCAAAATCATCATTCACAGTAGCATCCTGTCGCTGGCTACTAAACTGTCCCTTTTTAATAATGTTCTTTCTCCATCTGTCATCATAATGCTCTTGAGGTGGATTGTTATCACAAGATGTCTTCTTCTGCACTGCACAACCCTGAGGCATCACCAGCTTCTTCCTGTAGCTTGGAGACTGGCATGATGCTGTGGGGTCTAGAGTGGCACTGTTGTTTGATGAATACACAGATGGTGACGAAGACACTGATGACAACAGGGAGGGGGTTGTAGATGTACAAGCAGACTGGACATACTTTGATGAAGATACAGGCTGGTGTTGAGAATAATGGCTGACTAAAGAGCTTTGTACACAGTCTGTTGCTATGCCAGAGGATGTAGTCTGTCTGGTAGATGGACTGTAAGATGTGATTGTTGAGGGCACAAAACCATGAAGGTCTGTGTGCCCCAGGATGGTATGGCCCTCCTACAGGTTTCATACCTGCTAAACTTAGCCCAAGAGCCGCCCTTGCCTTTCCTTTGCAAGGAGGTGAAGGATTTGGAGGTGGGGCTTGTTCATGACTCCATGATCTGAGTACAGCACTTGAGGACTTTGTAGGCGAACAAGTCCCTCCTTGACCATCCTCCATCTCTGGTATAGCACACAATCCAGTGTTCAGTGAGGTCAGGGATCTGCGATGCTCTAAGGAATACCTCCTTGGATGACCCGGAGGATATCTCAGAATCACTTGGTTAGACAGGTCAAGATCAGAAAAGGATGTCCTGGACAACACGGAGAGACCATGAGCTTGCCTGGAGGCGGAGTCACTGGAAAAGAGGTGGCTCTCTCTCACTGGAGATGGTTCCTCTTCCTCTTCTAATGGTGGTAATTCTGGAGGCACTAGCTTGCCATCCATTGAAGAGTCACACACCATGATGGTGTGTCTTCGCTGCAGTTTTGTGGGGCGATGGCTGCTGCTGTCATGGAGGAAAGCATCTCTGGCAGCTGAAGGAAGATATATCAGAGAAATAATGCTGTACAGCTGGTGACATACAAACATACTAGTGAGGCTGAGAGAGTGAGATACGAGAGGGGGGGGAGTAACAGACAGGCAGGCAGCAGGACAGGCTGAGAGCAGACATATGAGGTGAGTCTGAGAGTGGGATAACAGTGGAGTCTGAGGGGGGGGGGGGGGGGGGCGGAGTAACAGACAGGCAGACAGACATACCAGTGAGTCTGAGAGAGTGGGATACGGGGGGGGGGGGGGGAGGTAACAGGACAGGCAGGACAGATTACATCAGGGTGGCAGCAAGGGGGGGGGTACAGACAAACAAGATGCATTACAGACAGGCAGACAGATTACATCAGACTGGCAGTCAGACAGATAAACTAATGTACAGACAAACAGAAGCATTCAGGAAGCAGATAAATAATAACTGTAAAAAATAAAGAGACACATTTGGACACACACACATGCACAATTGCTTGCATACACAAATATATATAAACACACACACATATACATACAGAGAGATCAATAGACATAAAGACAGACAGAGAAAAATACATATACAGATATCTATATATATATACTGACAGACACAGAGATGGACAAACATATTAACAGACAGACATAAATACATATATAGGAACATATAGATATAATACAGAGAGATGGATAGACATAGACAAATACAGACAGACAAAGAATTGAGACAGATACAGACAGAGAAAGAAAGATAACTAGCTTCTAGAATGGGACAGAAATATAAAAAGATATAAACAGAAAGAGATGGAGATAGAGAAAGACAGAGAGATAGACAGACAAACAGATACAAAGATCCAGCATCAAATACCGGAGGGAATCCCCAAAATCTCTAATGGAGGGACTACCTGATCTCTGCCAGGAAGATGATGGTGTCAGGTTGCCATGGGCAGCTGATCCAGGTGACGTCATCTGTGTGGATCCTGATGAGTGATCGTCTTCATCTGAGGACTCCTGGAGGGCAACACACAAAAAAGGGTATTAACTGGGAGTGACATGTTGAATAAACTGTTAAAGAATCAGAGACACAGCATAGGATGGCATACATACAAAGTTATACAGGGACAGGTATATACACACAGAGAGATATACACACAGATATACACACAGACAGATTTACACAAATAGATATACACAAACAGATATACACACATAGAGATATACACACAAAGAGATATACACAAATAGATATACACAGACAGATATACACACATAGAGATATACACACAGAGAGATATACACAGACAGATATACACACATAGAGATATACACACATACAGATATACAACACACAAATAGATATAAACAGACAGATATACACACATAGAGATATAAACACAGAGAGATATACACAAATAGATATACACACATACAGATATACACAAATAGATATACACATATACAGACATACACACATACAGATGATATACACACATACAGATATACACACAGAGAGATACATACAGGGCAAGAGAGAGACATACACACAGAGATTTATATAAATATACACACAAACACCGACAGAAACACACACACACATATAACATATATATATATATAGTAGAATATATTTACAATATGCATAATATGAATACACACAAAAGATACACACAAAAGGATACAAATAGGAAAAAAAAAGGATGGGGGTGGGGGTTTACAGAGACAGAATCATAATCACAAAGATATTTTTAAAAAAAGCAATGGATAGACAGAAGGTCACACAGAAAGAGACAAATATAAAATATTACAGACAGACGGCTATACCTCTAACATGAAAATTAGAGACAGACAACATAGACAGACATACACTTCCAACGAGAACATGAAACACACCATGACATAGATACACATTTTTTCAATTACAACATCACAGAGACAGACAGACAGACAGACACAATTTAGAGAGACTCCTAACATCAACAAGACAGAACATGTTACAACTGTACCACCACAACACACCCAACCCCCAACGAGCAGCTGATGTCATAACCACATGTCTACAGCCGACTGCAGCCACACATCTCAGACCTACATCAGCAAACACATGTCTACACAGATACACATCTCAGACCTACGTGGGCAACCACATGTCTACAGCCGACTGAAGCCACACATCTCAGACTTACGTCGGCAACCACGTCTACAACTGAATGCAGCCACACATCTCAGACTTACTTCGGCAACCAAGCCTACAACTGAATGCAGCCACACATCTCAGACTTACTTCGGCAACCACGTCTACAACTGAATGCAGCCACACATCTCAGACTTACATCGGCAACCACGTCTACAACTGAATGCAGCCACACATCTCAGACTTACTTCGGCAACCAAGCCTACAACTGAATGCAGCCACACATCTCAGACTTACTTCGGCAACCAAGCCTACAACTGAATGCAGCCACACATCTCAGACTTACTTCGGCAACCACGTCTACAGCTGAATGCAGCCACACATCTCAGACTTACATCGGCAACCACGTCTACAACTGAATGCAGCCACACATCTCAGACTTACTTCGGCAACCAAGCCTACAACTGAATGCAGCCACACATCTCAGACTTACTTCGGCAACCACGTCTACAGCTGAATGCAGCCACACATCTCAGACTTACATCGGCAACCACGTCTACAACTGAATGCAGCCACACATCTCAGACTTACTTCGGCAACCACGTCTACAGCTGAATGCAGCCACACATCTCAGACTTACTTCGGCAACCACGTCTCCAGCTGAATGCAGCCACACATCTCAGACTTACTTCGGCAACCACGTCTACAACTGAATGCAGCCACACATCTCAGACTTACGTCGTCAGCAACCATAAGCAGCAACTTAACATCCAACATACCTCGAAGCTGTTATTCAGCAACAGATTTAGGTCTGGCTTGATGACTCTCTTGGTGGGATGGGGCGGTTCCACTTCACCATGGCCCGCCAGACGTGACCCAGAAGTGTCAACTGAAAGAACAAGCAGATAACAATCTGACCTCACAGAAGACAGGGGTGAGGGAGTTAGAGAAACTAGAGGCAAGGGCCTCAGAGAAGACAGGAGGAGTGAGGGAGCCAAAAAAGCTAGAGGCAAGGTCCTTACAAAAGATAGGAGGAGCGAGGGAGCCAAAGAAGCTAGAGGCAAGGGCCTCACAGAAGATAGGAGGAGTGAGGAAGCCAAAGAAGCTAGAGGCAAGGGCCTCACAGAAGATAGGAGGAGTGAGGAAGCCAAAGAAGCTAGAGGGAAGGGCCTCACAGAAGATAGGCGTGAGGGAGTAAGCCTAAGTATATTAATAAGTATGTACGTTTCGACAGTATAATTCCCCCCCCCCCCGAACATCGTTGATCAAGTGTCCACACAGTATATTATTGACGAATGTCACACCCCTTCCCCTTCTTTGTATTCGTGCGTGTGTGTGTGTGTATGATTGCTCACACGGAAGGTCAGTGTGAATGACACGAGGCAGCCTGGTTGTATAATTAGCCATTTATTGCCTATAAATGAGCCCCGGTGGTCTAGTGTGTCAATCAATGTTTAAGGCAGCCCTGGATTGCTCTCCGACAGAGTAACACAAACTGACTCACACAGTGTAATGTTGGTATTTTCCCACGGGAATTCTCTAAGCAATAATATGAGAGCAACCTTGAGATAAGAGAGAAATACACGAGAATGTGAATACTTGCAGGAAAACGAGATATACAAACAGGGCTCAAACCAGCACGTGAAACCCAGAACGAGGGTTATACCAAGGTCTAATCATGTAGTATGTGTTTGGCAGCTGACGTGAAAGGTTGTATCTGATGGACGCGTGAATGTGACACTGTGTATTTCTGAAGACGTGAAGGAGATTGCGTTCCATGAGAAGACCACAAGACGACAGCTTGATGACAGTCTAATCCCAAGTGGTAGTCAACCAGATCTAACCAGTCCAGAAGTCGAACTGCCATGATCAGAACTGTTGGATCAACCACTGTGTGTATTACGTGTGTGAGGAAACAGGACTGAAAGGTAACAAGTGTGGAAGAGAGATGACGTCACGTTTGTGTCTGATAAATGTCATCACATCTTGCTGGACCTGCTAGCTAATAGTAGACATTGTTTGGACCAGATCAACTGTGAAAGTGTCATGAAGAATACTAACTGGATATCGTCGTCTACTCGTTACCAACTGTGTGCATTCAGAATGTCATCTATGTCGTTCGTATTAAACACCCCTAGCCACCAGTCAGCACACCGAGGAGACAATATCCCAAACAGCCATTATTCGGATGAGAATCCTACAGAAGGAAATCGTGGAAACCCCGTTCAACCTGCTGAACTGCAGGGACAAGTGACACGTGATGCCTGTAGCAGTGTATCACAGGTGAGATTCACTCACAGATGATGGTGGGCAGGTCTTAGAAAACAGGCAAGGTCAGAGATGGGATACTCTGATGTCGGTGGTGTTATGCTTTCAGCCTTCAACTGCCACTGACCTGAGGTCTTCAACCTAGGGCTCGTCAGTCTGCGGACATCTCACCACGGCCCGCCAGGACATGTATATGTAGCGGCAAGATAACGCGTGTTAGAATGGTACAAGCACAGAACCATGTAGACGCTAGAAACGTACTGGCCGCATGTATTATATCAGATCCCAAAATAACCACAGCCAACAAACCGTATCACAGACAGTGGCGGTGGTGGAGCCACCCCGAACTTGTCAATCACATTAGTCTGAGAGCCGGCCCGGCTACTGACTACCCGTGTTAGCTGGCTGACCCCAGTAGCAAACATGACGGTGTTAGGCTGGGGTCAACAAGGACACCAGGTTATTATTTCACGTCTACATGCAGAGTCATTGGGGGTGAGTAACATTTTTACGGACCGTGCGAGCCACAACAAGAAATTGAGGGTGCTGGTGGGGGGGGGGGGGGATTTTAGTCCCTTTGTTATTATAATTTGCCGAATGGCAAATAAATATATTTACATATCTGAAAGAATATGAAACAAATAAACCAATATTAAAATATTGCAAGCGAACCGGCGCTACTCTCATTGCAAGTAAACCGGCGTTACTATCATTGTAAGTAAACCGGCGCTACTCTCATTGCAAGCGAACCGGCGCTACTCTACTTGCAAGCGAACCGGCGCTACTCTACTTGCAATCGAAGCGGGTCGACTCTCCTTGCAATCGAACCGGCGCTACTCTCATTGCAAGCGAACCGGCGCTACTCTACTTGCAATCGAACCGGTTGTCACGATACGATCTCAGTGGTTCCAGAAGCTAGTACTTGTAATAAGTTCTTCTGGTTCTAAAGAGAGAGGATTATATTTACTCTGCCCTTTACCCTAATATTATTTTAAACCAAATTGATTTAAATGTTCCAGTCCTTCTCCCAGACAAAGCCACTGCGCTTTGTTTAAAATTACCTAACACTACGTAATACAGCCCGCTGGTTCAGACTAGGGATGTGAGGTTGGATTCTCACGCTAGTGTCAGAATGTTATCTCCTGACCAGACTGTAGAGACTGAGCGGGGCCCTTTTGAACAGGGGAATTGAGTAGACGCTAGACATTGTGGAGCCGGGAGGTCGGAGTTTAACACGTCAGTGTAATTCTGAGGAGAACGAGGTGGAGAACGAGGTGGAGAACGATGTGGAGAACGAGGTGGGGATGAAGTGGAGAATAAGCTGAAACAGGCAGACAACAGGCAAGGAAGAGTTGGACAAGCTTGACAGTTCCTCACGGCTGTCAGAGGCTTATAAGTTGAGTTAACCCCTTTATGTTAACCTTTTATCATCATTATCATACCACTCTAAACCCCGAGCTGTTTGTCTCGCTGAAGCGTATCACTTTCATTAACCAGTCACTGTTTGTGTAAATCAACAAACTGGGAATTTCATTGTAGTAAATAAAGCTGTATGTCAAGTTTTAAACTACATAGTTTGTTAAATTCCAAATGTCTGTTCTTACATGTTTAATTAAACTGTTAGGATAGAATAACATTTGGTGGGGGCTCAATTAATAATATAATAATTCTTTCATTATTCATAAAAACACCGGGAGAAGGTAGATGACGGAGGAATCACTTGCCCTGTCTAATAATTCATCAATTTGATTTGATAGACATCTAAAATTCCTTGCATTCTCTTGTGGGTACCAAGTTCAGCTAATGTTAAAGTACTTAACGAGCCAATATGGCTGTTTTCTTGGGTATCCAGGACTTTGTCTGAGAGCAACATAGCTCAGATTTTAGTTCGGTTAATCTGGTGGAGGAAATGTGTTGAGAGGAACATCCATACTAAACATTATAAACATTTAAACCACCCGTCACGTCACACTGGCGAGCTCTCCGGGATTAGGACTGGGCTAATTACTCCTAGACTAATGAAAGTAAATTTATTAAATTTAACTTTAACTCTTCTGCCAGTATATTCTAAATTCAAATTAGTAATTTATACATGAGGAGAGATTACAAAGTAATAAATAACTTTTTACTAAAATAAATAAATGGATAGTATCATGTCTTATCATTGATCACTTCATAACCATTGATTATTGTTTATTTAGTAAATTTTAATGTTGATGATTATTATATTTGCTTGCATGTTCCATCATTTGATATAGATTGTAGAGCATTATATGTTGACATCATATCATTGATAGTATGCTTAGTGACTGAATGTAAGATCACTTCATTACCGGTGTATCCTCTGTGCTGCTAAAATACTCTATAAGCTGTCAGTCTGGTAGGCCACTTTGATTCATTTACATCTCTGTGCGGCTGTCATAGGCTACTCTTGTGCCCAGTTTACCTTGCTCTGACATATTCTTATAATCTGGACTCGGGGTAGTATTTTATTTATCTCTAGATAGATCTAATAAGATATAATGGACTTACGCACCGAGTTCCTAAAAGATGTAAGGAAGATCGGGATAGCAGAGGGTAGAGTGGGAGCGCAGTTAGAATCATATGTTAAAGGCCATATGCATACTTTCGATTACATGAGTGCCCGTAATGCTGCAGAGAAGAAGCGCCAGTTGGAGAAAGAAGAATATGACTCGATGCTTGCCCGTCATGCAGCGGAGAGACTAGAAGAAGAGAGAATGCGGCAACTTGAAGAAGAAGAATATGCTAGGCAGTTGCGACTCGAAGAGGAGGCAGCTGTTGAAAGAACGAGGCGTTTTCAAGAAAAGCTGCGTAACTATAAACCACATAGGCAGACGAATAGAGAACTGCAGTTAGATACAGGGAACGGTGAGAACACTATTAGGGTAGTTGAGGGAACTGACAACTCCCATACTGACACTCTGGTAGAAAGGTCTGGGACTCACTCTCTCAATGGAGAGGTGTGTACTATTCTGCCAAACGGTACTTCATCAAGGGATGAAGTAATAGACAACCCAAGACCTTGCCTCACCCCTCTTATTCCTAATAGGGACAGAGCTGACATTAAGAAGAACTTTTCTGTAGGGATAACCGGATCTACATTGCTGGCCCCATTTACTTCCATTCTTAAGCCTAAAAGGAAAAGATGGAGTAAGAAACAGAAATCTTCAAAAGGGAACGGATCTACATTGCTGGAACCCCTTACTCCCATTATCTCAGATGAGATATATGAGAGCACACCCCGCAGTAATCACAAGCGTGATAACTGTTCCAACCGTCGACATACTGGTTCGACTGGCACATCAGCCATTAATGAGGACGAGGGCAAAGACTTACCCAACTCCTATAATCCCTTTGGTCCTTCCAAACAAGAAGAAGAAGTAAAGCAGACTAATGTAGGGAATAACACTAAACCTGTTTCCCCTATTTCCCTTGATGCGATTGCATACAAAATAGAAATAGTTAGTTCTGACTTTTCGCCCAAAGTAGTTGACTGTTATGGCCGCAACAAATCCCCTTATTTGCCTCCACTAGACTTGGTATGTGAAAGCCAGACCAGGGCGGAGATAACAGATAAGGAGGATAGTTCTTTTAAGTTCTTGACGACCTTAGAGACAATGAGTAAACAG